TCACACTCTGTGTACCCTGGGTCCCTTCCTTCTCCCCTAGCCTTCTGTGGCTGGTGGCTCCTGGGAGCAGGGTCTTTTTAGAGCCCAGCGTTAAGCTTTTTAGGTCTGTTGGACGGGTCCACTCGCTGTGCTGGCCCCTTCCATCTACATCTTCTCCAGGGGGAATGAAAGGTGCCATCTCTCCGCTGCCAGGGTTTGGGTGACAGGTATTCTGGAGTTGGTGATTTCTCCATTTGAGGGCTTGGAGCTGGGGCATGGCTTGCAGTATGCTCAGAGCAGGAGGACAGCTTGGCCGTGCCCTGGAGCAACCAGATTTGTTTTTCGTTTTGAACCCTTGTTCCCAAAGTACCGCGAAAACCTGCCCCTCCTGTCCCAGAGCTCCTGCCCGCTCGGGGGCAGTGTCCCTCTTTGTCTGGACGCTCCTTTTGGTCTAAGGCTGTGCTGGTGGCCGTCCCAGAAGTTGTCCCGTCAGCACCTGTACTATCTCCCCCGGAGGAGCCAGGCTATCTCTGCTTGCGCCGCCCGAACCATCTGCCGTGGGAGCCCCAACTGGGCTGCTGGGGTTCACGGAGAGGTGGGAGGCCCAGATGGATGGGAGAGAAGTATCATCGTTAAGATTTCGCCACTGCCCAGGTGTGCCTGTGAGCTAGGCAGGGTGGCCCCTTCTGAGCCAGCGCCTGGTATGCGTGGGGCCACTCTGATGGCTAGAAATACGCAGCCCTGCCCACTCACCTACCTGGGCTGGGGCTTCTCCACGGAGGCAGTGTGAGTCAGTCTTGCAGAAGGCCGAGGACAGGATGGTATTGCCACTTTTTCCTAAGGCCACCACTCCCAGGCAGAGGGGGCAGAGTCCTTCAGGAGTAGAGTATGGAGCAGGGTAGACCCGGACCCTTCTAGCTTCCCTCTGTAGGAGAGATTACTGTGTGGGCTGTCTGGCTTCCACTCTGTTCTCTACAGCTCTCTGTCAGAAGGAGGCATGGGGGCTGGGGGAAGGACCCAGGGCCTTGCCCTCCCAACTGATCCCTCTCCTGGCCTTTCAGGGGGCTCTTTGCTAGCCAGAGTTCCCAGCCTTTCCTCTTAGGGAAAATTCCACCCCACCCCCCTCTCTTCCCTTTCCAACGTCCTCCCACTTTCTTGGTCCACCAGGAGGCGGTCGAGAGCCTTCTCCTATCTTGACACACCCATTTCTCCTGCCAGGTGCTTGGTTCTAATGGCAGCCACTGCCACGTGCTCTGCTCATGCCAAGCTGGCAGAGGGCACAAATCCTCTAGGGGGTGCAAGGCCAGCCGGGCTCTAGGTTTTGTGCCCAGCAGACTTCATCCAGGAGGTTCTGTGCCTCCCCCACATCCTTTCCCTGACTCCAGCTGCCCAGCCGTCACCCCTTCCATCATAGATGGAGCCAGGTTATGACCCGGCAGAGCCCTGGGGTGCTGCATTTTGTCGAGGCCCTCACAGGACCTGCAGGTTAACATTCTCTAGTTGGCTGTGCTTCCTGCTTGCATGGGAACAAGGCTGTTCCCGGAGCCCGTTGGCCGTCCTGCCACCTGCATACCAATGGGGCTGTGGCTCCCACTGCATTGGGGCCTAGCATCTCTGCTGTGGTGGCGGCTGCGTGGGAGCCCTGGTGGGAGATTCCCCTTGCCTGAGCCCGTGCCCTCTCTGCAGGGCTCCTGCAAGGGAAGCCAGCACTGCTGGCTGTAGTTCCATCCCTAGCAGGGTTATCTGCTGGGAGCCAGGAGTGCTTGGACCCCTGCCCTTCCCTGGGCGGGCAGGCTGGCAGGCATCCGGCTCCTGCAGCCCCAGCAGCCCCAGCACCGCCGGGAGCAGCAGGTTGAAGCCTGTCCTCCTCTTGGCTGAGTGGTCAGAGTGCCACGGGCCAAGCCAGCCTCACTGAGGAATAGATAACTCTCAGCCGGCTTGGGGCTTTGTTGAGCACTTCTAGCACTGGGGAGACCTGAGGCTGGCTGCTGATTCCTTGCTGTCACCCTGCTTTGCACCCTGGGTGGGGTCGGCCACCTCCAGAAAAGCCCTTTGCAGGGCCTTTCCGAGGGCGCTTCCTCCCGGTGCTGGGGCAGGACGTGGGTTGGGAGGGAAAGTGAGCGAGTGTGTGTGTGTCTGTGTATGGAACCCCACCCTCCTGGCCACATCTGGCCACTCCTGCACATGTGGCTCTGGCCTCGTGGCCACAGAGTCGTCAGTGTGGCTGGCGGGCAAACCGCAGAGGAATGTGCCTGGCAGTGCTGGGCGGAGAAGGGGCTGGTGGGGACCGAGATACTCTGCTCAGGCTTTACTGTCCCATCCCCACCTCCACTGGGTCCCAGGGGCCATATTCAGGCATAAGGGTGGTAGCAGGGCCTTAGCCTTCAGCAGGCTTTGCCCCTGCCTGGGTGACACTCATTCGGTATAGGTTCCCTGGAGAGATCCAGGCCCATGAGTTGCACAGGGTCTAGAAGCCTCTCTTAGCTCAGCCCTTAGTCCTCTCCCAGCTCCCTCTCCACTCCCGATGAGGATCGATGATGGGGGCCTGGGCAGACCCCTGCTTACGAGGGGAGGAGACACTGGTAGCCACCAAGATGTTGGGGTCCTTCCTTCTCCAGGCCCTTCCTTGCCACAGGAAGGTGTTCCCAGCTCCCTGTGGCCTCCCTGGGCTGGAGTGAGAAAAGTGAGGGCTTTCTTTGGAGAATGAAATGGAAAAGAAACAAGGTGGGTCGGCCCTGCCTCTCTCACTTCCTCCTTCCTAGGCAGTGGGTAGCCTGCCTTCCCCTTCCTGCTGGAGGCTCTGTGGAGTGTGGGTTGGGCTTGGGGCTCCCTGCTGGTGTGGTGTTTGCCCAGTTGCCCTGGCAACCACGGGGCAGTGGTGGGGAGTGACATTCAGTGACCAGAGGACAGTGTACAGGGATCAAGAGGTCGAGACCCATGCTTCCCATAAGCCCATTGGAACATTTGCCTCTCCCTGGGGCCCCCTCAGCCCATTGCCCACATGGGGGCCTGGACCCGAAGTCTTGGGACCCAGCAGACCGCTCCACCCCTTTCCCCTCCCCAGCGGGTTCTCCCTGAGACCAGAGTTCTGAGATCTCTGCCTGAGCTCCAGCCTCCGCCCCCCTTGCCATTACCCTTCTTCCTGTCTGATTCCCTTTCCTTTCCTGTCTCCTCCTCCCACCTCCTCCCTGCGCCTGCCCGCCCATTCTCTCATTCCCCCTCCCCCCAAGCACAGCTGCTGTTTGGCTCACTCTATATATAGCGGCATTTTCGGGGTAATTACAATAAAACTGTTGAAAGGAGATAATCCAGCAAAGGAAGCAGAGTCTGACTCCCAGCCCCCTCCTGTCCCTGGTTTGTTGCAGCCCTGCACCCCCTTTCCCTGAGTCCTCCTGCTCCAACCCCCCCCC